TCCCACCGCTTCCACATAAGCTTATGTAAAGCTCTTTTTATCTTTCAACAAATTGCTTTCAAGTTTTTTTTTAAAAAAGCAAAAATGTATTTTTCCCTACAAGCCTGACATCTTTCTCATGTACAAAGGAATGACACATTTTAAAAATGTACTTTGGTCCTTTCAAGGAATCTATTTTCCAGCTATTTCCTGAAAGACTACATGATACACAAAAGCAGTCCAACTGTCTTATCTTTGCCTTTTTTAAGGAAAACAAAAATGAATTCACTTCCTTAACATTTATTTCACAGTCCTGAGCAGTTTTACTTGTCTAACAAATATTTAATAACCATCTACATCTTTTAAAATATATTCTGCTGTTTGGCCTGGTTGAAATCACTGATGGAACATCCCAGAAGGCTGTGCCTTCCATTTCTGAAATAATCCAGGGCAGGTAGCATCTGCGAAGCTTCTTTCTGTGATTGCCAGGGCATGCCAGCCGGCCATTGTCTGCATGTACAAAGCAAACATCATCAAGACAGGCCAGAAGAGAAATAACCTCTGTCCTGGAATCACAGGGGACAACTCTGTTTCTAGTACCTCGGTCTTTATCAGCTTATCCATTCCTGACACTGCAAAGCTCTGAGACCCCTCTCACCCAACCCTCCACGTCTGGCTTCCTGCTCTCAGATGACCAGCTGGCAGTTCGGGTTGCTGCTACCTGACTCCTCTGCACACTGACTGTGCCTGTCTCCTCCGACCTCTGCCTTCTGTCCGCTCCAATTTCCAAAGCACTAAGAAGCAGCTTTCTCCTTTTCACATCCCCTAGTAACAGTGAACTGTGTTTTAATAAGTTACGAAATAAAAATTACATATTCTCTATCTTAAAGAATGCCAAAACCTGTCAGCTACATTTCTTAAGTCTATGTCTCTCTCATTTTCATATTACCTGAATAATTTTATCACCAGCTGCTGACATTTGACTGATGTTCTGTATTTTGAAGAATAATACACAAATCTGCTCCTTAACCGGACTTAAGTATAGATAACACCACCTTAACAAACACACATATAGCATGTACTTTGTGACTCATTTAAATGTCAAATAATTCTACAGGATGAGTACCACTATCATTACTATTTTGTAGATGGGGAAATTAAGACACAGAGAGGTTAAGTAACTTGTGCAGGCACACAGCAGGCAGAGGTGGAGCTTTAGACCCAGGTGGCAGGGCTCTTCACCACTACTATCCTCTACCTCTCAAGTAATTGAAAGGTAAGAAAAATGAAATTTAATTGTGGTTTAAATATTACTGTTTTGAATGCTGTTCCAAACATCTAACAAAAGTCAGGCTATAAATATTACAGCTTAAACCAGAATTGGTTCTTTTATCAGAACATTATTTATGAGTCTAGAAAACTAAAGGCAAATTTCCATTTCAGCAAAACTCAGGTTGGATACAAGAATGACAGAAGCCCCTGTTAGAAAGCTGTTGCTTTATAAAAAAAAAAAAAAAAGAAAGAAAAAAAACTGTTTGCTTTATTTCAAAGGCTCACAAAACTCAGGGCTGGAAGGAAAGAACATTAACATTCATATGCAAAGACCTTTCTTCCCACCTCTACCCAATCACAGCCCCCTCCTTCAGCTAATAGGCACACACAAGATGATTAAATTTTCTCTAAAGTAACCCAAGCAGTGCTCATACCGCCTCTCCCCAAACATTATGGGAGTCAGGACATTCGGGAGCCATTCTTCAAGTGCTCTGTATGGTACATGAATAAAAAGTAGCTGGTGCTTTTCCAAAGATTTCATTAAGTGGGTTAAAAACAAAGCAAAAGCTTAGAGTCACTGAGCAGATGAATGCACTCTTCCTAAAATAACTTCTTCACCAAAGTCAATCAGATGAGTTGGAAGGAAAGGGGGAGTGAAGTAATATAGAACAGAGGTGGCTGGAGTGACCTCCGGCTGGCTGGACAATGGTCAGGACTCCAGGAATGCTGGGTAGCCCTTTTCTGCATTTTTACGTTTTAATCACTGAAGGAAAAGTCAACAGAAATTTCCCTGAGGAGAAAATCAATGCTGCCCCTTGGAAAGGGATGAGACAGACAGAAAGAGAACCGGAGAGCTAATTAGTGCTACTCAGAAAGCAAATTAAGGCCTTTTCTTTGACAAGCTGCAAATAGCTGGTTAAGTAAGAGTTTCTGCCACCCCTCTCCAGCCTCCAACAGCTGGCTAAATGGCTGATGCAGGTATGCAAACAGGAAGCTGTAAACAGAAAGACAGTCCTGAGCTGCTGGACAAAGTGTAAATAAGAAAAAGGCAGAGGTTTCTTTGTAGAAAAGAAACTCACAATTGAGATGAACCAAGAATGAATAACAGTAATAATTTATTTTAAAATGCCAATGAAATGTATTTATTCAATAAATACTTATTCAACACCTGCCGAGCAAGAAAAATCCGAGTCATCGATTCAAATGATCAGGTGCAAGTTCTGCCTTCAAAGGAGCTAACAACTTAGTTTGGGGAATGGTAATAAGTACACAAGTTAACTCTGTGCAGGGCACTATGCCATGTCCTTTAAATAAAGTAACTCATTTAATCTTCCTAACAAACCTGTAAGTTAGGTATTACTATTATCTCATTTTAGAAATACATTGGCTGAGCCTCAAAGGAGTTACATAGCTTGTCTGAGATTAGCAGACAGATGCCAAGTTCAAACCCTAGTCTAAGGCCCAGACCAGAAAATGACACTTCAGTCCTAACAAAGCTATTTGAAAGTGCCATATGAGGACAGGGGAAGACTAGCCACCTATCACCCCAAGTGGATGCTTTTGAGCTCATACCAATCGAGGAGCTTTCCTGGTGAACAAGCCAGCAATGAGTTGTGGAAGCATTATGGGCAAACAGACTTAGCTTGGTATTTTTATTTATCCAATTATCTGCATTGTTTGTTGTGCCTTGAAATAGGTTTCAATCAGTTCCAACAATTAGAATTAGCCCATTTTTATAGGCATTTTGAGCAAATTAAATTTTAATGACAAAAAGTTTTATGGCTTAGATTTCATTTTACTTCTGACCTTTCCTTCAAAGTTATCCACTGTAAGAAAAGCTTACATGCCATCATTTATTTGCAGTAACTACTGTCCCAAAACTACAGTTATAGGGCCTCAGGAAAAATAATTAGTCTCCACAGGATCAGTGTTACTAATGCATACCCATGGAAGAAAGCAAATGTCACAGCCCAACGTGTAGGCAACAATCTTCCAGATGCTTCTGGTGTCACTTCAAGGTACTCAGCTTCAAGGATAACTTCGGGTTGTGGAGGGAACATGTTCTCAGATCCCAGGCCAGACGAACATACAGGGTGTAGACACCCTGGGCTCTCACTGGGAACCCTCATTTCCTCAGATTAGAAAGTGCAGTGTTGGAAAGAGCTAGCTCTAGTCTAATTTAACTTGGCCCCATGAGGCAACGCTCTTGTTTGTTGCCACAGCAGAACTGAACACCAGCAAAGACCTCTCTTCAACTTCCCTATCCCCGGATTCCACAGGACCCAATAGTATCAATCTCCCAGGTAAAAACCGAGCCTCTAAAAGATCACTTAGAACAGAATAAGTACTCTGGACAGTGGTTGAATTGAAATCTTCCCCAGTGTGTATCCAAACTGAGGAAGTAACAGTCAGTACGTAAGTAATTACTGAGAAAGGAATTAAATTAGAACCAAGATTTTAATCTGATCCTAAAGTCTTTAAAAATCTAACAGATGTGCAAAGCACAGATAAAAACAAAATAAAATGAATTTACAAAAGAGGACGCTACATACTGATATTCAGGAGAAGAAAGGTTCCCCCATACACTATTGATTACAATGCAAGGAAGAACAATATCCATTTTATCCTACATAGCTTCCAACTCCTCAGATAGCTTTCTTGCAATAACATAACCTTACTTTGTGGGACAAAACACAAAACAAAAATACTACATTCTAATCATCAACCTATAAATAATAATAGATCATTTTTTTCCATGGTTGCCCAAACTAAGGCATTTAATACTCCTTGCTCCTATTTCTATCTCATACCAAAAACTTCCTTTAAGAAAGGTTTGGTATTACCAAAATGGCTTATGAGTAGAGAAACTAAATCACAGGCATCAACATCTCGTAAGTCATGGTCTGCCCAGACCTACTGACAAGCAAAATTGTACTTCATCCCTCATTCTGGGCTGCCCAAAGAGGTACCAATGGACCAGCTCTTCACTGGACCTAGGTTCACCTACACAACCCTGTGTACATTTTTTTAAAGGCATATAAACCTCTAACATGGATATCTTCATAGCAGGTACATGGAGGTGGTTTTGTTCTCAGAAGAAAAACCAATATATTTGCAATCATGAATTTATATTCATTTATATTTCTGAGATAGTAGAAGAGTTCCCTAAAATTATATAGGCAAAAGACCACAATCCAAAAAAAGGTATGCAATAATATATAATAATAATAATAGATAATGAGCTGTCATGTATTATGGATGAGGGGGAAGATAACTCACACTGCACACATGCGTGCATACACATATGCACACATGGAGAGAGAGTTCAAACCTAAAATAAATGTTTAGGGAAGCAGCATGATGCGGTCTAAAGAGAAAGTCCTTTGGAGTCATCTGTGTTTAAATTCTGCCTCCTGCTCAAGCTCTATGCCTCAAGTTCATTTTCAATAAAATGGAAATAGTCATAATCACATCATAGGACTGTCACGAAGATTAATTAAGACAGAATATACAATAAGGCTTAGCCCAGTGCCTGTTGCATGGAAGACAATAAACTTCAGGTACCTTCTCCTTCCCCTCCCTTATGTGCTTCTGAAGGCTTTTTATTTTACTGACTTAAATGGGAATTCTTACAGCAGTTAAAAAAAAAAACAGTTCCTACACATTATATAGTCATTTACACATATGTATCTGTTGCAGCACCATAATTTGCAAAGAAAAACGAAGTAGTAATTTTAAAAGAAAAGTACCAGCTCACTTGCACTGCCTTTTCAAACCTTCAGCTTTACAGTCGACAGAAACTATTTGCTCTGGGGGTGCAGATTCTGAAATAAAGGAAAAAATTCTCATGGGAAAAATGGTTCTCAAAAAAAGCCAACAAAGAAAAGATAATGAGGGGAAATCTAGGAGTATAGAAAGGAGTTTATTTTACTTAACAAAGTAAAAGTCAAGCAAAATGAATAATCTGCCTCCAGAAATGGTTATTTAAAGGCTTTTTGTAAAGGGCTCTGGTTCCTAAAAAGACAGGAGTCACTGCATATGCCCACCCACTCCTCATTTATTTTTAAACCCTAGCTTATATGTTCCTTAGCAACAGAAGGAGCAGATGAGACCCCCTACACACACACACACACACACACACACACACACACACCCTCTCTCCCAAAGCCCCCTTCTTTTTGCCTGTCAAGTTTCATTCCAAAAATATCCATGTTCTTCAAAAGATATTTTTTGTCTACCTGCAAATCTCCACTCCTCCACCTCAAATGATCCCCCTTACACAAGCAGCCATGCTCCATACCCTAACTGAGCCCTTTCACTCAGACTCCATTCTGTGTGTCTTCCTGCCTTCTCTCCATAAGCTCCCACCAGACAGCGTCCTCAGGTGCCCCCAAAAGCGAGGTGGTGTGGTCCTCACTGAGGAGCCCACCCTCAGTTCCTGACAAAGTTGCTCGTTTTTTACACACCCTTTGTCCATCCCACAGTAAAACAGCCAGCCCAGCTGCAGGAGTCCAGCACCAATGGCCGCCATGATGAGTGGGCAGGCCACTCACCATGACTCCAAAACAAATAAGTAACAGTAATCAAAATGGACACACTTTCCTGTTACCCAGGGACAAATATGCTCCAGATGGAAGCATCTCCTTTTCACCATCTTTTCCTCTGACTTTGAGACTGACTGGCCTGCTTTGGCTGGGGAGGGTTTATGAGTTCAAAGATCAATTGTTTAGTCTTGGGGGCAAAATAGGGTGGCAAACCCCAGATATTAGTCTGCATAAACACCGCCTGAGGAGCCTGTTAAGAATTCCCACCCACAGACAGTTTGACTCTGTAAGTCTAGGGTGGTGAGCACTTTTAACCAGCCACCTGAGGTGACACTGATGCAGGAATTGGAGACTGTAAAGCTTTATTTAAAAGGAAATGATGTTCATGAAGTAGAATCCACTTCTATGTATGGATTGTCAAGCAGACGCAATGTTGTTCTTCTTCTATAGAAACATGCTGCATCTGTGTCCATGTCTATGCTTGTGTGTGTACACACTTACATGTGCATGTGTGAGCATGCAACTCAGGAAGCCAAAACCCCACACAACATACATTTTGAAAAAAGAGGCTCAGAGAATGACCCCTGCCAAGAGGCAAGCTGAAATGATTTCCCTTGCAAACTCTGGCTTTGTATTCCTACCCAATGAGGACTCTGATGAATACCAATGAGCCAGGAGCAGCCCACACTGTGCTTCACGTAATCACCACCCCCTTCCAACTCCCTGCTCCTAAATTAGGCTGAATGTAGTCCCTGTTCCCCCAAGGGCCAGACAGGCCATCATAACTAGGAAGTAGAACTGTCAGTGTCCTAGCATACATCCCTAGAGCTACCCCCTCCCCATCATCTGTCTATTTTTAGAAACCAAAGTATAAAAAGAAAGATCAATTTGGACCTGATCTGTGTGAGTAACTAAGAGAACAACTCAGGTGGGGAACTCCCTCAGCGCACAGCGAACAAAATGCATGCGAGCAACGCAGAAGCAACAACCTCACCAGGAAGGCGTTTTAGGAGTCATCAGAAGTCAACACTTAGACACAGAGCACATGCCCTAGTGACTGTGGCCTCCAGGCCAGGCGATGTCTGTGGGGATCCCAATGATTCACACATCTGCCCCCATAAATAAAACACACCCTCCCAAACCCACACCTCTGTCATCTGCGTTTGCTTACATAACAGCCCATGGTGTGACAGGCTTAATACTTTATATGGTTTTTGGGAAGGGAACACAAACTCAGAAAGAGTAGGATTACAAGAATGTTTTCACTGACCCCTTTTCCAGAAACCTTCTGAGCTCCAGCAAGTGTACATCTTTGTAAACCTGTGCTTGCATATCACCTCGACCTTTAACATCAACAAGCAGTAGGGTCAGTGTCGACAACTCTCCAGACCTGTCAATATCTTTATTCTTGCCTGCGAAAGGGAGGTGGGTGAGAGACCTTAATAAATCCTAATTCCTCGTTGTTGGATTCTAATGCAATGTGGGGTTATCTTTTATCCTAATTTAGAGGCCATTGATCCCACACTGTCCTTGTGTAAAGGGCTCTCACACTCATCCTTAGGTGCAAATATGGTCCCTACTCTCACCTTCACCCCTAGCTTGCCAGCGGGCTCCCCACACTCTCCTCCAGCCAGGAGAGAAGCAAGGAGCATGCAGGCATAGAACCCCCATAACCAGTGGCGCATCTACAGACATAAACCCACTCTTCCTTCATGAGGGATTTCGAGGCAGGTCCAACTTCCATAAGGATTTCTCTTCAGTATAGTGCTATTCTTTTCTGCCTGTCGGAGTGATCTCAGCTATCAAGTTAGTGCCAAAGGTTCATCCAGCGAAATCTGGAAGGTGGGGGAAGGGTGGTTGAAGATGACACCTGCTTAGGGGCAACTTTGACGACTTCTCTTAAGAAAACTAAGCATCACTGAGTCTGCAACCCTTTCTCTCTCTCTTCTCTCTCTCTCTCTCTCTCACACACACACACACACACAGAGAGAGAGAGAGAGAAAGAGAAAGAGAGAGAGAGAGAGAGAGAGAGAAAAGAAAGAGAGAAATAGACACACACACACACACACACACACACACACACACACACACACAAATTTCTGTTGTTCTGACCTTAGGGACCCAGTGCTTCTCTCCTGCCACAGGGCAAAGCCGGCGTTGCTTCCCTCCAGCCTGGAATGATAGGATGGGGAGAGGACAGACATCCCCGGGAGGAGAGGGGAAAAGGGGGAAAGAGAGGCTTGGAAACAGAGAGGTGCCCAACTCCGCGGAAGCGCCCCTTGCTGGGGGAAGAGTGGGTCTCCCGCCGCGGCGCACCTGTCTCGGCTGCCGGCTCCCCGCGCCTACCTGTACGAGACCTGCTTCCGGAAAGTTAAGTTCCTCAGCTTCTCCTCCAGCGCCTCGTCCTTCTCCTTCTGGCCGGCGGCCGCGGGCTCGTCCAGGGCAGCGGCCCCCGCCGCCGCGGCTGCCCCTGCGCCCCGCGGGTCCGCGCCGCCCTCAGCGCCCAGGCAGCAGCTCCCGGCGCCGCTTCCGCTGCTGCTGCTGCCGCCCGTCGCCCCCTTCTCCTCTCCCGCCGAGGAGCTGGGGTTCATGGCGCCCACTCCGGCGGCCGCGGAGGGAGCGCAGGCGGCCCCGCTGCAGAGGCCGGGCGGGCTGGCGGCGCTGGCGGCGGCGGCGGCTGCAGGAGCGCGGGCAGGTCCGCGCGCTGCTGGCAGGGGCAGCAAATGGCAGCCCCTTCCCGCAGCATCCATCCGCGGCTGCACCGCACCAGGGCATTGTGGGAAACTCCGCTCACTCCCCCGCCCCGGCCAATCAGAGGCCGCCGCTCCCCGCCTCCCGCGCCCTCCCGCGCCGGCCCGAGCCCTCCAGCCCCGCTGGCCCCTTCCTAAATCCCGAGCGAAATCCCGAGCTGAACCTGAACTCTGCCCAGAGGCGACGGGCTGCGGCGGAGGGGGAGAGAGAGGAGGAGAGGCTGGGCCCCCGGGCTGGGGACGCCAGGGCAAGGACAGCGAGCATCAGGAAGGAGAGGGTCCGGGGAACTCGAGTGGCCGCGCCCTGTGTCCTGCACCGCGAGGCTAGGACCAGGACCGGCGGGCGCCCACCTTGGTCCTGAGCCCGGCTGCCGACGCTGGGCCGGCACCCCCTCCACCGCCGCCCTCCAGTGAGCAGAGCTGGGGCCAGGCAGCAGCCCCCGGGCGCGGGAAGGTAGTGGGAGCTGCATTTAGAGGAGGGGGGAGGTAGCAGGAGCGCCGCCGGTGGGAGCCTTAGAGCGAATTCGTCGGCGGGTGCCAAGTCGAAGCGCCGACCTCCGGTCTCAGGACTGGGGCCGGGACCCCTGCGTCCCGGAACCGCGTTCCCGCCTTGCTCCTCGCCCGGCGCCTTCCTTACGCGCAGCAGAAGCTCGCTAAACAGCGGTTAATTCGATGGGATCGGATCACAGGGCCCTCGGTGAAGCAGAAAGGCGGAGGAAATCCAGGAGGCAGAAGTCCTGAGGAACCGAGCGCCTGGCGCCGCTGCGGTGTTCCGATAAGGAGAAGAGGCATCCCAGGAGGGGCTTCAAACCACTAGGACCGACTGCTGAAACGAATCCAAGCCTGTGGTGTCTGCAGAATTTAACTGTCCGCCTCAACCCCAGTTTTTGTTTCTAAGATTATCGAAAACTGTGCGGTTTGAGTGATGTGTTACACAGTGTTTAAAACAGATTGTTTCCCAAATTAGGGGTTTCCACACAAGAAATCGCTGCTGTCGGCAAACACAGAAACGATCTACGGTTAAGACAAGGTGGTGTTCGTAACCAAACTATAAACCTACACGTATGTGGTGGTAAGAGAACCGGACCAGTGAACAGTTTCAGGTTGGCGTGGTGTGCCCATGAACAAAGAAGTTTAAGACTGGCAAAAATCTAAATTGCTTTCTTTCCCTTTATTTTGTCATCGCTAAAATTAGGAAAATGAACAGATACGACAAACCTCTTCTAACACCCATGTTCTGTAATTCTCCTTGTATGTACCTTATAGTAAGATAAAGGTAAAGACATTTCCGTGTGCAACAAGGAAAAGTAATAAAAATTAAAAACAGCTAACAAGTATGAAGCCCTCCTTTTTATACGGTAAGTGCTGTATAAGCACTTCCCTCATCCACCTCTACGTTTTCACAGCACCTCTCAAGGGTTTGGACACGTGTGAGGACAAACTGGCAAAGCCAATAGTCAAGCCAGGCTGCTCAGTGGTCTTTGTGCTTCACCCCGGTTTAGTGCACCCGTCTTCGGAAGGAATATAGTGTATTAGGTGCTTCAACAGCAAGATCCATGAATATCTAGCACATCCCTAAAATCAGGGAAATGTCATCTGAACCCAATTACTGGGACAGCCCCCTCACTACTCCCACTTACTTTCAGCCGTATCTTCCCCAATCCAATCTCAAGCGTGAGCCCCAAGATACTTCTGCTTTTTCACGCCTCCACTTAAAAATCTTCTGATTATGTCATATTGCCATTAGGGTAAAGTTCAAACAACTCAACTGATTTTGAGGGCTACATTGATGGGTGGTGGAGTACTGCCCACTTTCCCTTCATACTGTCATGACAGTGAGATTCTGAACTGTTCTGTGTGCAAACCCCACATGCTCTCTGCTCTCTCCATTCCCATTTTTGCACGTGTGAGTCTGCTGTCTCCTCTTCTTTGCTTCTCCTATTCCTAAGATTTGCCAAGCCAACTACTCTATACCTCCATCGGATTTTAGTTTACATGTCTCGCCCCATGTTTTTCCCCACTAGAAGCCTCCATTGATGATTCCTTTCTAGACTGTGATGGACGTACCTCCCATAGCTCCCACTGCACCATTGTACTAAACTTGGACCACTGCAACTGTCCTGTGTGCACTTCTCCCACATGTATATAAAGGCTATATGTGTTTATCACTATATTCTCAATAATAATAAACAGATAACATAATAGCTTAAGTGTGTATATTATAGACCATCATGAAGTGTTTATTGACTGAGAAAAGAAATATACATCATTGTGAACATAATGAAACGATGTCATTTTTCAGAACAGTTTGATAATAGATGGTATTGATGAGGGGGGTATGAAAACAAATGTTTTCTGCAATTGTTGATGTACTTTAGTAAAATCTCTCTGATGGTAAATTTTACAGTATCTGTCCATTTTTGAAATGCATAATCTAATTAACCAAGCAATTTCGCTTCTGAAAATTCATCCTCTGATATACTTGTAGGTATACGCAAGGAATTTAAGAGTGAAAACCACCTAAATTGTTATTCATCCAAACGATGGAATTCTCTGGAGCTGTCAAGATAAATAAGGCAAGTTAATATTCATTAGATAAAACAATCTCGAATATATGACGCTAACAAAAAAAGAAAAACCATGCTCAGAGTGTTTAGTAGTATGCTATCATTTATGGAGAAAATAAGATCTATAGAAATATAATATTTCTGGAAAGATATGTAAGAAAATGGTCACAGTGAAGTGCAGTTGAAGGGCTCTAGCTAGAATCTTGAGATTTTGCCTGATTCAATAAATACATACCAACAGAATGTCTCCCAGCCTATCAGAAAAGCCAGCTTGACCTGTCAAGTGTGTATTTGTATGTTTAAATAGTGTATTAATGGGTTGCTAATCAGAGGAATATTGGGTTTTTAAAAAAGACAGACATTGAACATTAACTCTAACTTAAGACGGAGAGACATTTGGGAAGCACAAATAATTCCAGCAAAAGACAAATGAATTCTGTTGTGGGGTGGCCTCCTGAGAAGTTACTTAAAATATTAGTCATTCTCTTGGACAATTTATTTTCCTTTCTATTTTTCAATGATGCCAAGTAACCTTGTAATTATTCATCCTGCTTCTTAGTTTCCTTGACACTAAAAAGTGGAATCCTTGAAAATGGGTCAAAAGCATTCTAATCACAAAAATAAATTGACATTCTGCTTTGAAACTGCATTGCATGTGATTTTGAGTAACATAAGTATATAACCAAGAAAATGAGCATCTCTGGGTGTATTGAAACACCTAGTGTCTGGACCTGAAAGTATAATCTCAGACCTCCGATGGACAGTGTTTCCATCACTGGGCCCAAAGCCATGCTCCATTTGGTGAGCTTCTTAACTCACCTTTCTATTATTAATTACTGTTCAATCTAAAAGAGGTATCATCCTAGTCTTAAGTACCAAACTTGAGTCTCCTAAATGCTAGACTTGATGAAAGGGCCTCAATGTGAAGTTTGAAAGAAAGAAGAAAAAAAACTTAAGTCTAGATAAGACTGCAAGACCAATAATAATGAGAACATTATATCTAACATTTTTAAGTGTATGTAGTTTTCAGGAACTTCAGGAATTTTCCAGAAATAACACATAGTCATGTTTTTTAAAAAGCAAGTGACACATTTAAATATGCATATGCACACTTTGGAGACCTCAGTTATGTATAAAACCAGGGAAAGATAATAGAGCTTTTGAAAATGTTGTCACTGAGGAAAAAAAGAAGTAGTAGTTTCCAGAATTAAGCTTGCATGTATCATGTTTTACGGAAATGATAACTGAGCTTCCTTGTCAAAGCCTACAAGGCCCTACTTGGTCTCTCCTGTGCCTCCTCCATCCCTGCAGTCACTCACCTTCTCACTCAGTTCTCCTAACATCCCTTTTCTCATACATGCTGTATTACTCCATTTTCACACTGCTATAAAGAACTCCCCGAGACTGGGTAATTTATAAAGGAAAGAGACTTAATTGACTCACAGTTCTGCATGGCTGGGGAACCTTTAGGAAACTTACAATCATGGCGGAAGGTGAAGGGAAAGCAAACACCTTCTTCGCATGGCCGTAGGAAAGAGAGAGCAGAGAATGAAGGGAAAAGAGCCCCTCATAAAACCATCAGATCTCATGAGAACTAACTCACTATCATGAAAACAGCATGGGGAACCAACTCCATGATCCAATAACTTCCCACCACGTCTCTCCCTTGACATATGGGGATTACACT